ACCTTGAATTGGACCCAGAAGCAAACTGGGACCCAATGCAGCTCACGTAGCAAAGGTGTAATGTGCCACCCTTGGGGCACCTAAAATTGCCTGGGTGGCTGCGTTTTGAACCAGCTGAAGCTTTCAGATGCTTTTCAAGGGTAGCCCCATGTAGAGCACATTGCAATAGTCTATATGGGAGATGACTAGGGTCTGAGTGACTATTATATTTATATCCTGCCTTTCTTCCAGGAAGCCAAGCTGGCATATATAATATTACCACCTTCAATTTTATTTGAGGCAGGTTAGATTGAGAGATAGTGGCTGCCCAAAAGTCCCATAGTGAACTTAGTGGGTAACTGGAGATTTGAAACTGTGATTCCTCAGTCCTGGTTCAGCAGCTTTAACTACACCACCACATTGGCTTTCTGTTAAATATAAACACAGACTAGCATAGGTTTGCAAATATGAATGAAAATAAAAGATATAGAAAGATACATATTTCATGATATTTAAGGACCAGTATAGTTTTAATTCTAGTCACCTTAGTTCAAGTCTATTGTCCAATGACATCACTGCTGATTTAATAATTCTGCTGATGCTGGCCTCCTATGATCTTGATCATGTATGAGACAATTACCTGAATATTTCAACAAAATGAGGATGGCTTATAGGAAAGGAGACTTCAGACAAAAGCAGTTTTAAGGGTAAGGAAATCTGATATATTTTGATAGATAAGGAATTAAGAAATGCATAGGCAGATATTAATACAAGGATTGTGCTATAACATTCTCATTTAAAACACAGAAACAAGCTTTAGAATTGTACCACTAAAACTTCCAATTACAATTCTTGAGCTTAAGAAATAAATAAGAGGAAGTAGCAGTTGAAGAATCCAAAGTAGGAGATAGCAGGCTGTAGCCAATAGTGAGTCCACAGTAATGGAAAAGCCTTTCTGTTTTGCAAGGTGTTTTTGTCAGGGATTTGCTAAACAAAAGTATATCCAAAGCTAAATAGAGGTATATCTTAGAATAGTGGTAGAAACCTGTGGTCCTTCAGATGTTTGCTTAACTATAATTCCAGTAGTCCCAGCCAGCCTGACCAATGGTGAGGGATGCTGGGAATTGTATTTCAGCAATATCTAGAAAGCCACAGATGCTGAAATGTGGGAATATTTAGTCATTACATTTTAATAACTCAAGAAATTGTTTAAAATCAGATTTGTTGTTCTGAAAAATTCTTTTGGTCAATTCTTATAGTCAGATTTCCCAAGTCTAATGCCCTCCCCACTACAACTTCCAGAAAGGTCATATTAGATAAAAATGCATTTGTAGTCTCAACATTTTTAAAAGGCACCAAGTTTGGAAAGGTCGGGCTGATAACAAAAGTGGTTAAGGCTATAAAGTTCCCAGTTCTTTGGGGTCCAAGCTGTCAATCATGCAAGAAGTTTTGGAGTTTCTTACAGAAAATGGCCTTTGAGTGATATTCAGTGTCATCACAGTTGTCTTTACTAGGTACTATTGTAAATTTATTTTCATTTCTGTCTTCCATCCTAAGTTTCATTTCAGACTGAGTATTTTTAGAGAGATGCATCCTATTATAAACTCCTATGTAAAAAATTAAGTGGCTTACCATGGGTAACACTTATTAATCTATTTTCTTTACCTGCTTTTTATCATGATGATAGTAGTTGCTTATTTTAATATTTTTCTGGAATCATTTTGAAATCAAACCCTTCCATCCTAAGCTCAAAAACGATCTACCTGTTTTCTTAATCCTTAAGAGGAAAGACACCATGAACAATGAATAGAGAACAATGAAGATTATGTGCAAATGGTGGTGGAGTAATATCTGAATTCTACTGAACACCTACCTGCCTGCCAAAACCCCTATGTGCTGCTTCTTATAAACAATGGAGAAGTCTACTAAGCAGCAGATATCCAGGCTAGACTCTCAGGTAGGAAGGAAAAGAAATGCCTTTCTTTTAAAAAGTGGCCAATTGGAATAAATTACATATGTAATTTACGAACAGATAAAAATAGGCTCCAATGGAAAGAAACACACACACACACTTCTAGTTGACCTAAAGATTTAGTGCCATTTTTCTTTGTGGTCATCTAGGATTATAGAAAACATGAGTTTCTGGGAAATGTTTTTCAGTTACAAACCCCAATAAGTTAGGAACAAACATCTTTCAGTGATTACTTAAAGTTAAATTTTAAATGCATATTTACTTAGAATTCTGACCCACTGAACCTATAGTAAAGTTCGAGCTGATTACATGGTAAATGTTTTTCAAATTGTTAACCTAATTCTCTCTCCACTTACCTTTCTTAGGCCTATACTCCATCATTCCAGCTCTTTTTTCACAACAGAGTTCTGACACTAAACATCTAGTGGGAGGGCAGACACATTTGAAAATTCAGATCTAACTTGATTAAATAATTTTCTCAGGTCCAAACTACAGATAATGTAGAAAGGGTAATACTGAATGGTAGAAATGAGCAAACTTTTGGATTAATGAGTAAATGAAATATGTATGAATTTCTAAAAAGAAATTAGATATTGAGGCAGAAAAATATAACGTGAATTACATAATATAGCAGGAAAAACACAAATAAAGTAATTGAAGTAGAATGGGTGGCAATAACACAAAAAGTTACATTCGGTTAACAACTTCAGTTAAAGTTATGCTATTTTAATAAATAGCATTATTTTTTCATTTATATAAATTTCTGGAATAATATTTTAAAATATTTGCTGCTGAATCAGAACAAAGTTCAGCCACTTTGTAACCTCTGAGAAAATTTAAACATGTGGCATTGTGCAACAGAACTTGGTATGCCCGGTAGATCTTTCTTTTTTTTCCTTTTCTTTCTTTTATGAGCTGGCTTTTGGGAGCTGACTTCATTTTCATTTTAATAAAGCTATGTCATAGGGCTAATTTTGCTTTATATGAAAACCAATACAGGAGAGTTATAGAAAAAGACCACCTAAGGTCTTTCACAGGAATACAAATAATCTTAACTATAATATTTATGGACTGCTCTCCATTAATTAATACCTGCAATTTTAGAGAATGAAAAGTATCAATTTATTTTTATTGCTCCTTAGTGAATGTTTAAAAAAGTCAATCTATAATAATTTATTCAAATATACTCCCTCTTTATATATACATGCACTGCAAAGTATTAACTATATTTTCCACTTGGAAGCTCCACAATTTCTTCTTGTTGTTCTGTTACGGCTCCTTCTTTTACTGATTAGAACTGCTCTTTGTAATATGTAGGATTTTTTTCTTTCATTCTTTTCTTTGATTTCTTTGTGTCCCTGAAAAGAAAATAATGTTGAAAATTAAACCTCATTACTCATATTGGGGCTCTTAATTTTTTAATTTTAAAAATAATTTTTTGTGTTGCCCTCATATCCTAATAGACACAAAGAGCAATCAACAAAATATATTAAAATTGAAAGTAAAAAAACAGAAGCAAAAGGAAATTAAAAAGTAACATTTTGAAATGGATAAGCAACTCAGTTTTTGAACAACATATTAAAACTTGATGACATGGAATAATATTGATCAGTCTTTTCATTATATCAATAAAAAGCCAATTCAACGGCAGAGTGTGAATATATACATTTCAGTCCAAGATTTAAAATCCAGAATAGCCATATATTTCCACTGAAGCAGAACAATTTTTCTGGCTGCAATCCATGCTTGATAAACCCAAAGTTCTTCATAAACTGATAAATTGTAAGATTTCAGTAAATAACTCAACATCACCTTAATATTTCTAAGCTTCAATTCTCTTCCCAAAATTGTATTAACAATAAGAATATTAAACCAAAACAGCACAATATTAGAGCAAGCTCAAATCATGTGTCAAAGTCCTCTCCAATAAGCTACATCTGCAGCATATAGAAGCTGACTTCCAACTTTTTTAAACATCCACTAAAGAGTGCAGTAAACATGAAAAATAATATTTTTTTACTCTCATATTAAGATAATAGGAAAATATTTCACATTATTTCATATTTAGGATGACTGATTTCTTAAGAGAGGATGTTCCAAATCTTATATATTATAAAGTGTTGGATATGACTTCGTATATAACCAAAGTCAGTAAATCTCTAAAACTGTGTATAAAAATATATATTTTATTCCAAAACACTTTTCAGTAATACAAATATTTATAGAGTTTCAAATTCTGCTGTTAGAGTGAAAGAGATTAGAAGACAAGAGTATGAGCTATAATACATAGTGGAACAGGCTTGAAACTGAACTCTTTCTTCAGTAATTAATATCTTATCATATTGAACAACGCTTAGTGCAGACAAAATTTGATTTCAATGGACATTAAAATAATCTTCCAGATAGGGTTTATCAATGTCTTCAGATGTAATAATCATTTTAAGTTAGCTGATTGGGTTATTAAGTTTTCCCTAGTGTTTCTGATTCCATCTACTGGTATATACTAGTGAGGCTAGTAAAATAATGAAAAATTAGATTCCAGGATGTCACAGGAACTCCCATGTTAGCAGAAATAAAAGAAACAAACAAAATCCTTGCAAATTAAAGCATATTAGGAAAGGTCACATAACATGCATCCACACAGTCAAATAAAAACTAAATATGCTCAATTGCCATAGAATATTACATCAGTTGGAAAAGATTATGTGCCACAGACGGAATGAGGAAAGGATTATCTAGGAGAGAAGTAAGACTGGTTAGTATAACATAATCAGAAGCATTCATGGTTGAAGTAAAGATATAACATTTTCATACAAATTATATTTTATTATAGATTTATATTTTATTATATTTTATTGCTGGGAGCCTGGTGGCATATAAATTTAATAAATAAATAAATAAAGTTCACTGGCATTGCAGTAGAGTTTAAAAAAAAACCTGGGACATCCACAGTTCAGTACAGGTTTTTTGAATAATTAAAGGGATTTGGAAGATATGCAGAAAAAGTATTAGTTGATAGGTACTTTATAAAGACCTGAAAGACCAGGTTAAGGATAGATTGTCATAGAGAAAATCTACCTATGTGGTCACTAGGAGTTGAAAACAACTTGATGGAATATAATCATTTTATAAATAAAAAGACTATTGTTCTAGGTCTGTTCTTTGGAGCGTGAGGGAAGGCTCATACAGCATTTTTTTTCCTAGGATCATGTGGCTGCTGTACAACTCTGGTCTTAAGGAGCTGCAGGCAGGTGCTATATAAGTACCCCTGTGCATTCCAAAGCAACTTTCACATTTGCATCCAAAGCCTGGCTTACAGAATATAGTCACTGCTTTTTTAGGAGTTGCAAAATAATAATGGTGGTTTGAGGTCAGTTGTAAAAGTGAACACAGTAAATTTTCAGCAAAGGATTACTTCATTTAATTCCTTGACATCTAATTATCCCTCTCTATCAGTTCTGGAAACTAGAAAGTATTAATAGTTCCAATCCTATAAAAGCTAAATTACTTGGAGGAGATTTATTAGGATCAAAGAAAAATCCACTTCCTTGATGTAATTCTAATAAATCTTTCAGTGAAATGTTTCTTTTACATATGGGTGAAGGCCAATGTTCCTAACAAAATAAGGTAGAATGGGGAAAATATATAAAGTTGGAATGTATGCCAGGATCTACTCCTGGGACTTTCTCATCTTTCTATAGAGTTTGCATTGTGAAATAGGAGATGTATTAACTATTGATCTTTAATTTCTTAAATGCCTTCTTAAAACATCTCAAATTAAAACAACTGTACAGTAGTTATCTCCCTAACACAGGCAGACCCATTGCAGTTAATTTCACCTTGACTTTTTCCCATTATAATCCAGATCCATCCTAATATGTACATCTCCATTAATTTCTGCTTTGCAAATATGACTATAAGCTTTCCTAGGACAGTAAAAGATTACCTTCATTCAGTACAGAACACTCCCTATGTTTTGAATTCTCTAATATGTTCATTTATATTTATTAGCTTAAATTCTGCAAACTTACTGTATTGACATGATATGGAAAACCATTTAGAATTCACATCTTGCTATGTGTATAACAAATAATGTTTAAAAGATATAAATGATGCATATCTCTGTAAGGAATTCTATTTTATGAACATCCACCTCATTTTCCCACTCCCATTTTTCTTGTCTTATCAGAAGGATTTTTTTTTCCCTTTTTTCAAAGGATCTTGCCTGCTACAGTCTACTTCTTTTTTCCATCAGTCACACTGTATCCCCAGAACTGTTCATCCATTTTGCAAAAGAGGTGTCATCATCCCTTCATAGCCACTGATTATGTGCCATCAAGTCAGTGTCGACACATAGATTTTCTCCATAATGATCTGTCCCTAACCTGGTCTTTCAGGTCTTCCAATGGTGTATCCACGGTCCCTCCATGTAACTGAATCCTTCCATCTTGCTGCTGGTTGTCCTCTTCTCTTTCCCTCCACCTTTCCCAGCATTAGAGCTTTCTCCAGAGAGCTAGGTTTTTGCATAATGTAAGCAGGATAATTTGCACCTGGTCATTTGGGCCTCTAGTGAGGACTCTGGACTGATTTATTTGTCGATCCATTTGTTTGTTTTCTTGGATGTCCACAGTATTCTCAGGAGTCTTCTCCAACACCAAAGTTCAAAGGCGTCAATACAGTTCCTATCCTGCTTCTTCCATGTCCAACTTTCACTTCCATAGAGTGTCACAGGGAATACCATTGCTTGCACTCTTCTGAATTTTGTAGGTATAGACATATCATGGTATCTGAATATCTTTTCCAAGGCCATCATGGCTGCTCTAACAAGTGCTAGTCTGTGGCATATCTCTTGACTGCCTGACCCTTTACTGTTGATGGTTGATCCTAAAAGGCAAAAGCCATCTACCATTTCAATATCTTCATTATCAATTCTAAGGTTGGCTGTTCTACCTATTGTCATTAGTTTAGTCTTCTTTAATTTTAGGCCCATTTTTTAAACTATGCTCTTTGACTTTAATTAATAGACCTTCCATTAATAGACCTTGCATTAATACATCCTTTGCATTTTCAGCTATTAGAGTAGCATTATCAGCTAGCACAGGTTACTGTATTGATGTTTCTTCCTCCAATTTTAAAACTACGCTCATTCTCTTCCAGTCCAGGCTCCCTTAATATATATTCAAGTTATAGGTTGAATAAATATGGGGAGATTTTAGTCTTGTTTCGCTCCTTTGCCAGCCTGGAGCCAGTCTGTTTCGCTATGTTCTATCTGTACTATGACTTCTTCACCTGTATATAGGTTTCTTATGAAAACAATGAGATGTTTTGGGATTCCCATTTTTCTAAGCACATTCCATAGCTTGATGTAATCAACACAATCAAAGGCATTTCTATAATCAATGAAGCACATATTGACTTATTTTTGATATTCTTTGGCTTTCTCAATTATCCAGCATGCATCAGAAATAATGTCTGATGTTCCTCAGCCTTGCTAAAGCCACCTTGAGCATCTGACATCTCTTTTTCCAGATGCATTGGATGACCCTAAACATAATTTTGCTACCATGTAAATTATGGATACTGTATAATAGTTTGCACTCTGTTAAGTCTCCTTTTCTGGTATTGGAATGTAGATTGATCTCTTCCAATCTCTTGGCCACTGTGTTGTTCTCCAGATTTGCTGGCATAGCTGAGTTAAAACCTTTACTGATTCTTCTTCTATTGCTTGCCATATTTCAGTGGGTATTGCATCAGTTCTTGTAGCCTTCTGACTTGGTAATGACCGCAGTGCTGATCTAACTTCATCTTCTAGTACTAGAGGTTCCTGTAGGTAGGGAGCATCTTCTAAGGTATCTTGGATGTTGACATCTCTGCTGTACAGTATTTTAGTATACTTTGATTTTCTTTGACTCAGTTACAGGTAGTCCTTATTTAATGACCACTTGTTCAGCGATTGTTCAAAGTTATGACATTGCTGAATGAGTGGTACTTACAACCAGACCTCAAAGTTCTGGCCGTCCCAGCTCCCTATGGACACGTGATCGTGATCTGGGCACTTGGCAACTGGCTCACACTCATGACAGTTGTAGTGTCCCACAGTTACATGATTGCCATTTGTGACCTTCCCTTCCAGCTTCCCATAAGCAAAATCAATGAGGAAGCCAGCAGGGAAGGTTGCAAGTTGCTCCGTTAAGTTGTCTGCATTCTTCCCCACTCGGCAGCAGCCACCCCTGGCCCAGCTGCACTCGCAGACCACCCACCCACCCCCCCTTCCCCACCACATCTTGCCAAGCACCCTCCTCACTCAGCAGAAGCCACTCCTGGCCTGGCCACACTTGCTCTGGCCACCTGTGCATTCTCCACCTGGAAGCAGCCACTTACCTGCCTGCCTGCCTGCTTGCAAGCCACCTAGACTTGCTTAATGACTTGTGATCCTCGCTTAACAACAGCAATGAGGAGTGACAGTATTGCCATTGCTAAGTGATGCAGTTACATGATGTTGCATTTTATGACTGCATTGCTTAGTGATGGAAATTCTGGTCTCAATTATCGTCATTAACTGAGGACTACCTGTACTGTCTGTCCATTGGAATCCCTTAGTATACCAATTCGAGGTTGGAACCTCCTTCTGAATTCAAAGATCTTTTGAAAGACTATCCTTGTTTTTCCATGCCTGTTTCCATCTTCTATGTCTTTACAGATGTTGTAATACTGTTGCTTGTCTTTTCTCACAGCTGTTTGTTACGTTCCTTCCCAAGATTTTTGTCTTTTTTGGCTTTGGCTTCCCTTCTCTTCTTGACAATTTTAATTGTTTGTTCTGACATCCAATTTGCTTTCATCTCTTTCTTCATTTCTGGCAACTTTTTTCGCATTCATTGTTAATGATTTCTTTGAGTTCATTCCACAGCTCCTTGGGTGCTCTATCAATGAGGCTGAGGACTTCAAAACAATTTCTAATGTTCTTGAAAATGGTGGTTAAATGCTCAAGATCTCTTGATATTGTTCAATCATTGATTGCATTGTATCCAAGTACTATTCTTGCTATATCTTTCCTAACTATAAAAGCAATACCATTCCTTCTTTGTTTTTCATGTCCTGAATACAGTGATAAACAGAGTGATCTTCTGACTGACAATGTCTGATCCCAGTCCATCTTAATTTGCTGATGCCTAAGATGTCAATTTATAGTCATTTCATTTCATCTTTCACTGTGTTGAGTTTCTTCTGTAAGAAGCTTTTCATGCTTACTTTTCATGTTCCCACTGTAATTCTGTCTTTGCAGCTTCAGGTTTCTTTTCCTGTATGGCTACATCAGCAACTATACATCCCAAAGGCTTTAATCTAGCCATGTCATAAACACCATTAGTACTCTGAAAGGTTGTCAGCTCTTCCTCAGTAGCATGTTGAGTGCTAGCCAGTGCTATCCAACCCAAGGGGCCCGTCAGCTGGCACTATATCATCAGTCAATTTATATTTTCTATCCATGTGGTTTTCTTGGTGAAAATACAGGAGTAGTATGAACTGATGCCTTTACCACTGTCACTAAAGCGATTATCAGCCTCCAGCATCTCCCTTTACTGCTGCTGCCCAATATAGGTGCCTGCTTGCTTTAGCTGGGCAGTTGGGATGACCTTCATGCCTTGGGTGACCTCCTGGCATATACTCCCAATGTTCTTTGCTTAATCATCCTAGGAACAACCCCCTCCCCACCACGATGAGGCAGTACAGCAGAACATGGGGGGGGAGAGATAGTCCACATATAGATGGGAAATATGTTAGTTATTCATCAGTGAGTAACTGATGAGTTAGAGAGCTACTATTTGGTGAGAGATTAGAATATTGTTTTTAAATTGTCCCTTCTAATCAGAAAAGTCTACATACAACCCAACTAAAAGCAACACAACAAATGTTAGCCCAGTATAGCCCTTGCTCTTGTTGATATGCATACATTCAGTATTCTAGTAACCTATTTTAAAATGGTCACCTGGTTCTAACATTTCCATTAGAGAAATTCTCAATGTCACATACCTGGCAGGATAGCAAGAGAATTAGAACTACTTTATATTCTTGCTGCTGAACATAGCAACTCTCAATTATTATCAATTGAGAATTATCAACATGCCTAGAAAGTTTAGGCTATGACTGTGATCTTTCTTGCAAATTATATATTGTCTAGGAACCTCATTAAAGCACTACAGCAAACACCAAAACACTAACAACAATATGCTATTGTATACACTCATGGGTTATCATTACTGATATATTTCAAGTACAAACAATAAATACCACTTAGTATTTTTAATGACATTTATATGAACACGCCCCTAGATTAAGGCAGGAACAAGTTCAAAATGCATATAATTCATGAAATCACATCAGCACTGGCACAGCATTACATGATTCTCTGGGTTTCTTTATGCTTGTGTGTATTATATTACATCTATTCTACTGATTCTAGGTAGCTTATAATGTATAATGTAAATTGTTAATAAAATAATAAATATAATAAAATAATAAAATCCATCCATGAAATCAATAAATAATAATCAAAACTGTTAAAAACTATGAACTCACAGCTGCTGTTAAACAAGTCACAATGTTCTCTTAAAGAGGACTGCTTTTGTTATCTTCTGAAACGTCAGGATAGGAGTCACCTGACCTTGGGGCAAGTTGTTCTGGGGGGCTATTATTGAAAAAGTCAATCTCCAGGTCCCAGCCCCCAATTTCTTTCAAGGTACCCAAACTGCTCTCTGTTAGATTATGCAGGTTGGGCAGATTCTATGTAAGCTGGTTCTAAATGTAACAAGAACCCAAGACAGAAAGAACTTTATAGGTTATCAGCAGTACCTTAAAAACAGCAAGGAAGAGGTGTTATTCTGCTAAACTACCTAATGCTAGTCAACAAATGGCCACTGTGCCATAGCTTCCAAGCTGTCTTCAGGCACACATAAAGCAAATTGCAGTACTCTAATTGAGAGGTGACAAAGTTGTGCGTGATTATCTTCACTGCCTTCTAGTCCAGGAAAGGATGCAACTAGCAGACCTGCTGAAGCTGGCCAAAGCCTCTCCTGCTACAGTTTTCACCTGCTGTTTAATCCTGAGTCATTAGTCCAAGGGAACTCCCAGTTGTGTGCCATTTCCTTCAAGGGAAGTACTACCCCATCAAGAGTAATAGATGGAACATCTAGGAAAGCAGAGAGTTTCTAAACCAACAGCAGCTCCATTTTGCTGGGATTCAATCAGTCTGTTTTGCCCATGCAGTCCTTTGCAGCCTCTGGGCACCTGGTCAGGACTTCGACAACTCCTAATTGACCTCGGGTTGAGACTTAAAGCTGGCCATCATCAGGATATTGATGGTTCTTTATCCAAAACTGACAGATGATTTGCCCCAAAAGTTTCATATAGATATTGAATAATATAGGAGAGAGGGCTGAAACCTGGGGCATCCAGGGTTCTAGTTCATAGAATAGTTTCTAGAGCACACTGTACGTTTTACATTCATTCATACAATACTCTTTCCGATCCAGAATATTTTGGATGTTATTTTAAAAGTCCTGTTAGGTCTTTCTATGAAAAATTGTATCAATATAATACTCTATTTTGAGTCTTACAAAGTATTGTCAGATATATAAATACAAAGCAATAAACTGTTACATAATTATAGCATAGTGAAGAAACATTCAATATATACATCAGACTCTCCTTTTAAATTCCCCTTGCAAACTGGGTAATCGATTCAAATAGACTGATGGGACATTGAAGACAAAGATATCCTAACAGTTTTATATATTTCATATTTATATATTTTTGTAGCTTGTTGAATCCATAGCAACAATATATTTTTGAACAGCTTTAAGAAAGAGAATTAGAACTTTTAGTTATTTTTAACCAGATTCTTTAAATATAAGTCTGGCTCTTATCTTGGAGAAACAGTTTAGCCTAGCAAATCCCCTACTGCATGGGTTCTGCCCTGATAGTCTTGAAATGGCTGGACTTTGCATGATCTGAAATCTAAAAGAAAGGGGAAAAAGCAGGGTTTTTTTTCTTATTTGAGTTCTTTATAGCAATAAGAGATTCAGGCAAACTGGATGGACAGAACATGATGGTTCCTGGGTACTGTTTCTAGAAGCAAGCTCTAACTTGAAATCAGTAATTAAAGAACAACACTATGAATTTACATCTATCTTTAACCTTTATTTGTAAACAACTGAAAATAATGCAAATCATTAATCATTTTTGTCTCCTTAAATATCATTTAAGGAGACAAAACCGATGTATATGCTTTCAGCTCTGCAATTTACACCCCTTGAAACAACATGGAATAGTTTAAAAACAATAGTATTTACCTTGTTTTTCTTTAAAAATTATTCTTCTTCTTCTCCTTCTTCTCAGGAGAGTTTCACAGATGTTTATGCTATGGCAAATTTTTCTCTTCCACCATTAAAACCACCAGGAAAGCCACCATCAGTGTTTAGTGTGCACCTACCACCAATGAAACTATCAGGCAGGCAAATACCAACATCTTCAACTACCACAGCTGCTCCCTTGTATCAGAGCAGAGGCTCAAGCAAACATATATCATCTTCTATACCAAATCCCATTTTTCTCCCTCAAGTGAATATTTCAGGAATGCAAATGGGAAGAAAATACAACGCACTCCCTCCATTGACAGCTACAGTCAAACAAACAAAAGCAATGCAAGAAGCAATTTATCTGCAGGTGAGCAACATTCAGGCAGGTTTATTTTAAAATAGCCACCAGTGCATTGTGTTTGGGTGAATAGGCTAAGCAATATTTCATCAACAGCAAAATATTCATCTTCTATGCCATTTCCAAGGGGGGAAAAAAAGTAAAAAACCTCATTTACTGCAAATTTAAACATAGATTTACTTAGCCTTAGACTATGCAATATGGCCGGGTAAAACCACAGTGAAAGAAACCTAGGGTGTCTGATTGTGCAAAAAGTTTTCTACATTCATAGGTCAGCTTTCCTTTACCAGACTCCCTCCAGGAGTGTCAGAACAAAACCACCAAATGCCAACCCACAAGCATCAATGTTGCAGTCCCATAAGAGATGGGAATCCTGTATATTTAGAGGATATCAGGTTGGGGAAGTCTGGCATAACATCTCTTCAAATAAATAAGCATAAATTGGAGCACAGCTTGTTATTGTGAACTCTGTCTCCCTTCCACCATTGTAGGTGAAGTTGAATAAATTATTCTGTGATGAAATTACATTCTTACATGCCCATCATGCTACTACCTTTTAGGATAAACAATATTATGCAAAACACAGAAAAGGAGTAAGAAATAGTAAACTAAATAAATTAAATACAAGAGGTAAGATAAAGAAATTTAAATTTAGTTAAGCCAGTCCATACACTAATTCATAACAATGTCTTTTGTTCTCTATAAACTATTCACCTCTCCCTTTTTGAATATCTCATCGACTCCATCCAACCATGACTTCCTCCAACTTTCCTTACCCCTTGACCCACTCTTCCTTCACATAATTGTTTTGAAATTCTGCCTTCAGTCATTCTTTCCCTGTGACAAACCTCCTCAATATATTTCTTTTCTACTGGTTGTTCACTTTGCACACACCTGTGGGTTTCACAGATGAAACGCTCTGACCCTGATCAGCAACATTTTACTCTGAATTTGCATTCTTTAAGCACCTATTCGTTCTTGTTTTACTACACACCTTTCTTTTGGCTGCGAGCGAATTTATTATGTCTCTCCTGACTTACACAACTCTCATTTCCATATAATTAAGGGGAAGAAGCGCGCTCGTACTGATTTTGCCTTCAAATCTGATGAACCTGTATATGGGCAGGTTACCCTGTTAGGATGTTACAACTTCAGAGCCCTTTGCGTAACTCGGCCAACCAGTTCGCCGTTACCCAACAGCACCTTGTTCTACAAACAAGCGGGTTTCTTTTCAGTCCAATGCACGACCGCACCGACTTTTACCCGCCAGCAGGTGGCCCTGCAGCATAGGACTTGATAATGGGTAGCAGGCCTCGGGCGGAAGTTTATCCAGACCGCCTTTCCCGTTATGCCCCTGGTTTCCGTTGACTCCTTTCTCTCCTGGGCTGCTTCTCCGCCGCAACTGAAAGTGCGAGGCGAGCGGGAGTCATGGCCGCCTCGAAGCCCGTGGAGGCCGCCACAGGTGGGAGCGGGACGGGTTCGGGGATCCCGCGCTGGCAGCTGGCTCTGGTGGTCGGGGTGCCGCTGATCGGGGTCGGAGCAATTTACTTGTGGAACCGGCGGAGGCGTGGAACGCGGGCCGGTGGCAAAGGCACCAGCGAGAGGAAGACCCCTGAGGGGAGGGCCA